CCAGGCCGGGACATCTGGTCGACTCTGCCTCACTCACAGAGACCAAGACCGGGCCTGACATCTGGTTGACTGCCGCCTCCCTCTGGGAGACCAAGGGCTGGGACAACTGGTTGACCCCACCTCCTTCACGGAGATCAGGTCCGGGCCGGACATCTGGTCAACCTGGCCTCCTTCGCGGAGACCAAGACCGGGGTGAAACATCTGGTCGACTCTGCCTCACTCACAGAAACCAAGTCTGGGCCAGGACATTGTATTGATCCTTGCCTACCTCACAGAAACCAAGGGCTGGAACAACTGGTCAACCCAGCCTCCCTCACGGAGAGCAAGTCCGGGCCTGGACATCTGGTCAACTCCCACCTCACTCACAGAGACCAGGTCTGAGCTGGGACATCTGGTCGACCTGTAATGTAATTTTCGTCTCTAGCAATATTACTAACTCTCTTGTTAAGAGACCAAATGTATCTGTAAATACTTGTGGGTATTTCTATATGCACAATCATTTATGACAAAATAACAGTTTTGTTTCCTTTTTTATTTGGAGTGACATTGGTCAATAAAATTATATATATAGGTTTCTGGTGTACAATTCTGTAATACATCATGTGTATATTGTGTTGTGTGTTCACCACTCCAGGTCAGGTTTTCTTCCATCACCATTTATTTTCCCTATACCCTCTTCTATTTCCCCCAAACCCCTATCCCTCTGATAATCGTCATACTATTGTGTGTGTCCATGAGTTTTTTCCCTTAATCTCTTCACCTTTTTCACCCAGCCCTGCAACCCGCTTCCCCTCTGACAGATGTCAGTCTGCTCTCTATGAGTCTGTTTCCATTGTGTTTATTAGTTTATTTTGTTCATTAGATTCCACATTAGTGAATTCATATATTTCTTTCCTGGCTGGCTTATTTCACTTCACATGATAACCTACAGGTCCATCCATGCTGTACCAAAGGGTAACTTTTTCTTCTTTTTTTATGGCTGAGTAGTATTCCATCATTTAAAGGTATCACAGCTTCCCCCCCCCCCATCCTTTGTTTTCTTCTCAATTTTCATAGCTTTAAGTTACTGTTTTTGTCTTGCTAGACTAGGACCCAGGGCTGCCACATTAGGTGTGATGTTTGCTAAACACATCCTCTACCTCGCCAGGGAAAGTCTCCTGCATTCCTAGTTGACTGTGTTATCCTGAAGGCTGTTGACGTCACCCAGTGCTAATTGCTTCCTCTCTTGAGATTCCATTAGTCAAGGGCCAGCGAGGAACACAGAAGCCCCGCTATATGTTCCAGTAGTGGGGATGTAGTGCCAGGGTTTGTTATGCCCGGGTTGAAATACAAATGGAACAGAAAGGCAACACTGCTTGGAAGTTTTGGACCACCCTAATCTAAACCAAGTACCTAGTCTGAGATTTATTTTTTTTCTTTTCAGTACTAGGTTTTATTGAGTCATAATTGATGTATAACATTATGCCCATTTCAATGGTCCAATTTAATGATTTGGTATATGTCTATACTGGGAAATTATGCCTTTTTTTTTTTCTTTTCTAGATTTTTTGTTGGGAGGGGGTGATGGTTGGCATCTACTGTTTTACTTTCTTTTTAAATTTTTACATGAAACAATAAACTAAAATTTTAAAAATATTTTTATAATATGCCTTGTTCATCACCACCTAGTTACGCACTTTATTTCTTGTGATAACTTTTAACTATTTATCTCTTAGCAATAAACTCATAACAATTCTCACATATACAAGACAGTATGATTAACTGCATTATTACAGTTAATAGTATTAATACCCACTATTATTATCATTTTGAAAACTATTTTTATTTATTTCAAAGAGGAAGTGAGAGGGAGAGTTAGAAACATCGGTGATGAGAATCATTGATTGGCTGCCTGCTGCAAGCCCTCTCCTGGGGATTGAGCCCATAACCCTTGCATGTGCCCTCACAGGAAATTGAAGTATGACTTCCTAGTTCATAGGTTGATGCTTAACCAATAGTGGGTACACTATTGGCAGGGCAGTACCCACTATTATTGACTACAGTCACTAGGCTGTACATCACATCCCCATGAATTAATCATTTTATAACTGGAAGTTTGTACCATTGACCAAGCTCATTCATTTTGCCCACCCCACAAGCTCTGGCTCCAATAACCATCAATCAGTTCACTGTATCTTTGGGTTTGATTCTTTTAATCTTTCTACATATAAGTGAGATCATACTTTACTTCTCTTTCTCTTTGATTTACTTCACTTAGTACAATGCCCTCACGATCCATCCATGTTGACCCAAATGTCATGTATTCCTTCTTTTTAAAGCACAACACCATTCCACTGTATATATAGCACACTTTCTTTGTCCATTCATTGACTGATGGGCACTTAGGTTGCTTCTATATATTGTAGATGCTCCTGCAATGAACATCACCCCCTCCCAACAAAAAATCTAGAAAAGAAAAAAAAAGGCATGTGTCTTTTCAAATTAGTGTTTTATTTCCTTTAAATAAATACCCATTAGTGATGTTGCTGGGTCATGTGTCAGCTTTATTTATAATTTTTGAGGAACTGCCTTACTGATTTACGTAGTGGCTGCTCCAATTTACATTTCCAGCAATTGTGCAAGAGGGATCCCCTTTCTGAACATTCTTGCCAACACTTACTATTTCTTGTCTGTTTTATATCCCAGCTTGAAATTTGCTAGACCACTCAGGGATGTGACTTGTTGGGGCACAACCATGGAAATCATGCTTTTCTTTAGTCCTCTGCTTGCACTGGACAGTCATCATTGTACTATGGGAGGAGTCCCGATAGGTGGCAGGGGAGCTGGATCCCTCCTTTTACCTACACCGGAGTCAGGGGTAGACCACCTTTGTGGAGCCTGATATTGATACAGATGGCAAGATCATTGCTTCAGAAGAATACAAAATCTGCTACACATGGATTTTTCTAACACGAGTAACTATATGGCATTAAGTCACAAAGGTGAAAACGTTTAAGCCCAAAATGTAAGACAAATGAAAAAAAGCGCAGCCTTTTTTTTTTTTTTTTTTTTTTTTTTTGTCATGTGACATACCTGTCTGGCACCCCAGGATAAGGCATGTTCCCTACAATTTTTAAAAATCTCTATTGAGGATATGTTTGTTGATTTTTGTGAGTGAGGAAAGAGAGAGAGAGAGAGAGAGAAGAGGGAGTAACATCAATCAGTTGTCTCCTACATGCCCATAGAGGGGATGTGACCTGCAACCTTGGTATGTGTTGTGACCGGTAATTGAATCCACAACTTTTTGGTTTGGGATGACACTCCATTCCACTGAGCCACCTGGCCAGGCTTTACTGTTTTTACCTGATACTCTTTGATTGCCTCTACATAGGAGATTAATTCTGTCACATAGTAATAAATGTCCATCTTATATTATTAATTACAAGAATATTATAATTATTCTAGTGGCCCAGTGCATGAAATCATGCATGGGTAGAATCTCTAGGCATGGCCAGTGATCAGGGCCAATCTTTGGGGCGACCCAGCAGGGTAATTTGGGGTGCCTGTGCTGGCATCTCCCTTGGCTGGTCTGGTGCCACCCTCTCGCCAGCCCTGTTTGTCAGCCTCACCCCCTGCTGCTGCTGATGGTCACCTCCCGCTGCGTGCATCCAGCAGGGCAATGGGAGACTTGTGCTGGCACCACCTTGGCTGACCTTGGGCCTTTGGGCTGGTTCAGCCCCCATGTTGAGTGTCTGTTGCTGGTGGTTAGTGTGTATTATAGCAGTGGTCATTCCACAGTTCTATCGATTTGCATATTAGGCTTTTATTATATAGGCCTAGAGGTTTGGCGCATGTGTAGGGTCCCTAGTCCTGGCTGGTGATCAGGGCCAATTGGGGCCTTCCTTTGTTTAACACTGTCCCCTGGTGGTCAGCACACATCATAGCGAGTGATTGAAATCCCAGTCTCTTGATTGAACTCCCAAGGGAACACTTTATATATTAGCCTTTTATATATATATATATATATATATATATATATATATATATATATATATATATATATATAGACAATATAGAGAATAGAGAGAGACTTCAGTGTTCCCTTCTGCATGGATGATTGATATTTCTTTTTCTCCTGTGAAATTAAAGAAACGTTTCTTTCAGTTGCACAATTTGTTACTGAGAATGTCTGAAGTTTCACATTGATCAAGTTTCTTCCTTTCATAAAGGGACAGTAGGATTTCAGGTTATATCCTCACATCACTCGAGTCCTTGCTGGGCTTTGAAAAGGAATGGAGCTCGTGAAGGGTTTGAAGGGGGAGCTTCCTGAGCTGTAAGGTGGGGAATTTACTGCTGTGCTAAAGCCCTACCTCTAGGTCCCTCCAAATAGGGGGATATCTCCCTTCACACATGGCCTTCTGAGGGGCCTGTGTTCTGTCACTGTCCCAGGTCCCTCAGACCCTGAAAGACACAACGTGTGTTTCTCATGTCCCCAGAAAGCTCTCAGAACAAAGGGCTTAAATGCTTAAGTTTTTGCTGGGGTTCTACCTGCAACTGGAGTTGAATCTAAATTCCTTTTTCTGTGGCCATTACTTGAGTTGTCTAAAAAAAAAAAAAAAATTAAAGTTATCCAGACTGATCAATTGTTTCAGCTCAAGGGTGGGTCTCCCCTAAGTCAAGCTCTGACCACAGTGACATCCTGGGTCACCTCCCTCTCTACTTACACACCATCTGTAAGGGGATTACTTTCAGGGGATTCACACCTGGTCAGGCCTCTCAACCTCTGAGGGCTTCAGAATATCCACAGGCAGGGTTGGGTGGGAGGGAAACAGGAGGGTTTATCAGCTACCACCTCACCCCCACGTCCTGTGGAGGCCAACTTTCCCTTCCAGCCTGGCCACAGTCACTTCCCCACAGCTTCCTGTTGGGTTGTCCTAAGGCCCTACCCCAGAGCTGGGCACTTCCCCACCCTTACCCCCGATACAAGGACCTGGACCCACTCTTCCCAGCCAGAGGCAGACATGGTGCCCCTGCTGCTGCTGCCCCTGCTGTGGGGGGGGGGTGAGTGGGCTGAGGGAGGGGGATTGGGAGGGTGGTGGATCAGCAGGGGAGACTGCTGAACCTCTCTCCTCCTCCACCAGGGTCCCTGCAACAGAAGCCAGGCTACCAGTATAAGCTCCAAGTGCAGGAAACAGTGACAGTGCATGAGGGTCTGTGCGTCCAAGTGCCCTGCTCCTTCACCTACCCTTGGAGTTCGTGGTCTTATAGAAACCTCTACACCTACTGGTACCGCGATGGAGACAACACAATCTCTGATGATCCTGTGGCCTCAAGCAAACAATATGGAAAAGTGAAGGCAGAAACGAAAAACCGATTCATCCTCGCAAACCCGAGTTCTGACTGTTCCCTGATCATCACAGACGCCAAGATGACTGACACAGGATGCTACTTCTTCCGAGTGGAGAGAGGAAACTGTGAGATATAATTTCCGAGAGAAGATGCTGGATTTGCAGATGACAGATAAGGCAGGGGCCCAGGAGAGGACCCAGGGACATGGGACCCCATCGTAGAGCAGGAACAGGACACTGGGATCCTCCCTGTTCCAGTCTTGGGGCCATGGGTGGTTGGAGGATCACAGGGCCTGGGGAGCTCAGGAGCCCTGAGGCATGAGTCCCACTCAGGATCACACTTTGGGTCCCTCCCTGCAGTGGCCCAGGCAATTCCCTCTCTCCTCTTCCTCCCTGACAGACAAACCCCACATCCAGATTCCGGAGCCGCTGGAGTCTGGCCACCCCACACAGCTGACCTGTATCCTGTCATGGAATTGCAAATGGGGAGAACCTTTCACCTTCTCGTGGGCGGGAGTCGCTGTTGCCTCGCTGAACCCTGAGACCCGCCACTCCTCAGTGTTCGCCTTCACCCCGAAGCCCCAGGACCATGGCACCAACCTCACCTGTCAGGTGAAACGGGAATGGCCTCTGTTTACCTCACAGAGAACCATCCGGCTCAATGTCTCCTGTAAGTGTTTGAGGGATGGCTGGGTCCCTAGACATAGTGGGAATGGTGTGTGTGTGTGTGTGTGTGTGTGTGTGTGTGTGTGTGTGTGTGTGTGTGCAGGAGGCTGAGGGATGGAGAGAGAGAGAGAGAGAGAGAGAGAGAGAGAGAGAGAGAGAGAGAGAGAGAGAGAGGAGAACCCAAAGATGTCGGATTGGGGTGCTAACTTTCATCCCTGCCCTTCCCATGTTTGATCCCATTCAAATTGGGATTCCCCCTCTGCCCGACCAGGGCCCTGGGCAGGTCCCAGCCCAGAATGGAGGGGTTCTTTCCTACCTGTGTCGTTTCTGAAGGAGAATCTTATGGTGAGGTTCTGAGGAGCATCTGGGATAGAAAGATAGGGTCCCACTTCAGATGGAAGTGGACTGAGACGGGAGTGGGGGTGAGGTGGGGGCATGAAGGGGTGCACCTTTGGAGTAAGTCACCTGGGTGCCTGGAGATGTTAGAGGCACCTCTGATTCTTTCTCCTCATTCCCCACAGACCCCTCAGCAGCTGCTGGGACCCTCCTGCTCCTGGGGGGACTAGGCTCTGCTCTGTAGCTGCTCCACCAGGGCCCAGCTGGCCTCCTCCCTGTGCTGGCAGCTGGGGGCGAGGCTGCTGGAGGGGGACCATGGCAAAACCTCCCATGCAGTTACCTTCTGCTCAGTAGGGCCCTGAACCAACTGTTCCCTGAGCCTACATACAGGGCTCAGTGAGGGACTCAGACTGAGCTGTGAGGCCAGAAATGTCCATGGAGCCCAGGATGCCTCTGTCCTGCTGCTGCCAGATCAGGACCTGCTGGGGGCAGAGACCATGGAGAAAGGAGTGAGTCAGAGAGAAGGTGGAGCTGGGGAGGAGGCTGTGGGCGGACAGGGGTGATTGTTAGGACAAGACCCTCTATCTCTTGCCTGAACAGGACCAACTGTGGGTTGTGCCAGGCGGTGGGAAGAGGAGAGACTGAGTCTTGGGAGTGGCTGCTGTCACCTGAGCTGGTGCTGGAGGAACAAATCCTGAGACTCCCCAGTCCTCAGCACCATGGGTCCTGGAGTGACTGGCAATATGGGCTCAGGATGGGTTGGTTTGCATCTGAAAGGCTGTTCCTGGCAGAATTCTCCTGGAGCTGCCCCTTGAGGGCTGAGGCAGAGAAGATTTCACATGCTGGGCTCAGCACCTGCAGGGCTCCCAGCATGCTCTCTGTGCAGAGTGAATTACAGGACAGGTGTGGGAGCTGGGGATGGACTGAGACCCGGTCAACACATCATCTTCTTCCATCACCCCCAGGCAGCCCGCACTCCTGCAGATGTGTGACTGAGGAGCAGCAGGGCTCCTGGCCCTGGGTGATCACCCTGATTAGAGGAGCCCTCATGGGGACTGGCTTCCTCCTCACCTACGTGCTCATCTGGCTCTACTACACCAGGTGAGCAGGCCTGTCTCTCCCGGGGAAGCTCAGGGATTGGCCCTGAGGTCCAGGTGCGACCGAGCTGTCTGGCTCTGCCTGGAGTGGCCCAGTCTCTGAGCTGAGACCTGTGTTGGCCCCACAGGTGTGGAGTCCACCAGAAGATGATGCAGAGCTTCTGATGGATCCTCCCTTCTTCTCAAGACGGGACCGAGGTGTGGACACCAGTCTAGAGGGACCGTCCTGGGATGTCAATGTCACCTTCTCCCTGGAAGCTCTTGACTCACCTGCTCAAATGGACCCCTGGAGTTTCTGTGTGTGGAAGTGACTGTGTGATGACAAGGGGAGTTAAATCCATGGAGAGATGACTTCTATTCATTTTACTTCATGAGAGGAGGGGACTGCTATTCCTGGGGAAGCCCCAGATTTCCTCAGGAAGCAGGTGCAGGTGCTGGGCAGCCTAGCAAAAGCCTTTATTGGGGTTTCCATGGGACACACAAGGCAGGGTGGGGCGAGTAGTTTAAGATCAGCAGGTCTGTATTAATCTGGGGGAGTTGGGCCTGTGGTGTGACCTCTATTTGTCTGGTCCCAGGTCCTGAGTGATTTGGGGCAGGTTGGAGTGGCTGGCAATATGGGCTGTGGATGGGTTGGTTTGCATCAGAAAGGCTGTTCCTGGCAGAATTCTCTGCTGTCTCTGAGAATGGGCGGTCCCTGTGAGGCCCTGTGTCTCTGTGGCCTCCTAGCTGTTTAATGGTTGAAAACATCATAAGATGCAGAAATAAACAACTAATACACACCCACTGACTGCTCCATTGTTTCTGCCTGTTCTCTCTTTCTCTCTCTCTCTCAATTCTGCCCTTCCCTGCAGGTCTGGTCACTCCAAATGCCCTCCCCTATTGGCTTGTTTGCCCCCAATTGCCCTCCCCTGCTGTCTTAATTGCCCACATCTTTCCCCCCCCCCCCTTGCTGGTCATCTTGTGGAAGCTATATTGTGACATCATGGGGATGGCCATCTTGTGATGCCATGGGGAGGCCATGTTGTGATGCCATGGGGAGGCCATCTTGTGACCACCTGGGGGTTGCCATCTTGTGTGAGGCATGATGGCCAATTTGCATATTACCCCTTAATTATATAGGATATCTTACATCTATAAATTTGATAAACTTTAGAGAACACTAATAATTTCTTGGATGTGAACAATTATTTTCTCTCCAGATTTATTGAAAAATTTTTGACATAGAATGCATGCAAATTTAAGGAATGTAATGGTGCATATTTGATAGACCTATATGATGAAGTGATTATCACAAGGTTCATTAACACTTCTATGTTCTCATATACTTACTACTGTTATGGTTATAACATTGATGACATACTCCCTTAACAACTTTTAGGTATATAACAAAATACTGTTAATTATAGTTATCATGCTTTATAGTACATCCCAAGGAATTACTAATCTTGTAGTTGAAGGTTATCCTTGACCAATATCTCCCCATTTCCTCAACCCCAACCCCTGCATCATGTTCTACTCTCTTTCTGTGAGTTTAGCTTCTTCAGATTCCCACTGTGAGAACATACTGCAGTTGAACAATGACTATTAAAAAAAAACAAAAAACTACCATCAGAATTATGTTTATTCTATTCAGTTCTAGGTTTCCATTACAAAAATCACTTTTCTCTATACAGAAATTAGCTCAAAATGTATTAAAGACCTAAAGCTAATACCCCAAACTGCGAAACTCTTAGAGAAAAACACAGGGGGAGAGTCCATGACATTGGATTTAGGAATGATTTCCTCGATATTTACATCAAAAGCACAGACAAGGAAAGCACACATAGACAGGTGGGACTGTACAACCTTAACAACCTGTACCCAAAAGGATACTCTCACCAGACTCCAGAGGCCACGTACAGAATGGGAGAGAAAATGCATCTGATGAGGGGTTAATATTCAGAATATATTACAAACTCACATGAGGCAACACTAAGAAACCCAAATAACACAACTGAAGAATTGGGCAAAAAACTCGAGTTGATATTTCTCCAAAGATGATATACTAATAGCCAACAGCCTTATGAAAGGATATTCAACATCAGTAATCCTAAAGAACTACAAATCGAAGCCCTTGCTGGGTAGCTCAGTTGGTCAGAGTGTCTTCCAGTCGTCTGGTTTGATCCTTTCCAGAGCACATACAACAATCAACCAATGAATGCAAATGTCAAAACTAAAATGAGATATCATCTCGCACCCTTTAGGATGGCTACTATAAAGTAATACAACAATTATTGCATTATTCATTCCTTTAGGATGGCTCAGTGTATAAGCATGGACCTATGAACCAGGAGATCATGCTTGGAATCTCAGTCAAGGCACAGGCCCACGTAGCAGGATTGGTACCAGTAGGGGGTGTAAGGAAGGAAGCCACGTGATTCTCTCTCATCATTGATGTTTCTATCTCTCTCTACCTCTCTCTTTTCCTCTGAAATATATATATATATTTTTGAAACCAGCAGGAGATAATAATAAGTGCTGGTGAGGATGTGCAATAATGAAACCATTTTGCACATTTGGTGGGATTGTAAAAGGATGTACCAGTTATAGAAAACAATATGGCAGTTCCTCAAAAAAATAAAAATAAAACCACCATGACATGTAACAACTACTCTTGAGGTTATATATGCAAAATAACAGAAAGTAGACCCTCAGAAAGGTATTTGCATACTCATACTTATATTGATAGTAGCATTATTGAATACACAATAGTCAAGAGGATTCAGCAAGCCAAATATCCACTGATGGATAAATGCATTTAAAAAGGTTATGTGTTTCATTTCACAAAAAGGTTTGTTTTCACAAAAGACCATAGACTGGTGGTTTCGAACAAGCAGGAATTTATTGCAGAAAGACCTGGAGACTGGAAGTCCAAGATCAGGGTGCTAGCCTGGCTGGGTTCTGGCACGTGCCCTCTTCCACAGTGCAGGAGGGCTACTTTTAGTTGAAACATCACACAGTGGAAGGAGAGAGGGAGCTCTCTCAGGCCCACCTGCTAATATCATCCCCTTGGGTGTAGGGAGCGGCAGTTACCAAGATAAATCGTCTCAAATTTGCAGAGGAACACAAGGATTGGACAGTCGAGCATTGAAAAAAGTCATGTATCAATAGTCCGATGTATCAGGTTTCCAGTTGCATCATGCAGATGGCAGATTGAGAATTTCGTAGAAACAGCATGAAAACATTCACCCCACATGCATGAGTACAACCCTTCAAGCTGGTGGGGACAGTCTTATGGTTTAGGGCATGTTTTCTTGGCATGATTTGGGCCCTTTAATTCATGTGGAGCAACATCTGAATAGCACAATATACTTAAGTATCATTGCTGATCAAGTTCATCCTATCATGTTAATTGCATATCCCCATGGAGATGGCTTCTTCCAGCAAGACAATGCACCATGCCACGGTGCTTGTATTGTGCAGGAGTGGTTTCAAGAACACGAGGGAGACTTTACCTTGCTTAGGTGGCCCCCACAATCACCAGATCTCCATCCAATTGAGCATTTGTGGGTCAAAGAGCCACCAGGCAGCTGGTTCCACAACCATTAAATCTCACAGACTGGACAGTGCTATTCATCAGGCATTGTGTCAGATTCCTGGGATCACCTTCCAACATCTTGTGGAAACAATGCCAAGAAGAATCACTGCAGAATTGAAGGCAAAAGTCCCAATGAAGTGCTGATGAGGTGGTCATAATAATCAATCCACTCACTATATATTGTTGTCATACCCATTAACATGCACATTGTCTATTTATTTGTACCTTTAATGTCCTCCTAAACAGATTTATAATTTCCTTCATTGAGAAAGGGCATATTATATTTTTAAGTACATCTCTCTTAGCAATATCCTCTCTTAGCAATTTTCAAATATACAACACAGTACTATTAACATTATTATAGTTAATAGTGTTAATACCCACTATTATTATTATTATTTTAAAAATATTTTTATTTCTTTCAAAAGGGAAGTGAGAGAGATAGAAACGCCAGTGATGAGAATCATTGATTGGCTGCCTCCTGCAAGCCCCTGCTAGGGATCAAGCCCATAACCTGGGCATGTGCCCTGACCGGGAAGTGAACTGTGACCTCCTAGTTCATAGGTTGATGTCTAACCAATGAGCCACACCAGGTCAGTACCCACTATTATTAACTACAGTCCCCAGGCTGTACATCACATTCTCATGATTTAATCATTTTATAACTGGAAGTTTGTACCATTGACCACGCTCATTCATTTTGCCCACCCCACAGGCTCTGCCTCTGTCAACCATCAATCAGTTCACTGTATCTCTGAGTTTGAATTTTTCAACATTTCTACGTTTAAGTATGATCATACACTACTTGTCTTTCTCTTTCTGATTTACTTCACTTAGTTCAGTGCCCTCATGGTCTATCCATGTTGACCCAAATGGCATGAATCCCATCTTTTTTTAATAGCACAATACAACTCCACTGTATAGATGGCACACTTTCTTTGTCCATTCATTGACTGATGGGCACTTAGGTTGCTTCCAGGTCTCTGGGATATAAATATAATATTCTAGCAATTAATACTTAATGTAATATTGTAGATGCTTCTTCAAGGAACATAGGGATGCATGTGTCTTTCCAAGTTAGTGTTTTTATTTCCTCTAAATAAATACCCAGAAGTGGTGTTGCTGGGTCATGTGTTAACTTTATTTATAATTTTTGAGGAACTTCCATATTGATTTACATAGTGGCTGTCCCAATTTACATTCCTAGCAACAACGCAATAGGGTTCCCCTTTCTGAGCAATCTTGCCAACACTTACTATTTCTTGTCTATTTTATATCCCAGCTTGAGATTTGCTAGACAAGTCAGGGATGTGACTTGTGGGGGCAAAATCATGGAACTCATGCTTTTCTTTAGTCCTCTGCTTGCACTGGACAGTCTTCACTGTAATACTGGAGGAGTCCTGATAGGTGGCGGGTTGTCTTCTTTCACCTACACCAGAGTCAGGGGCAGGTCCAGCTTTGTGGAGCCTGATATTGATACAGATGTCAAGATCATTGCTTTAAAAAATACAAAATATTCTACACATGGATCTTTCTAACACAAGAAAAAATATGGTATTAAGTCACAAAAGTGAAAGTGTTGAGGCCCAAAATATAAGACAAATGAGAAAAGCACAAATTGTTTTGTTTGTTTGTTTTTGCCGTGTGACATACTCATTTGGCACAGTAGCAAAAGGCATGATCCCTACAATTTTTTAAAACCTCAATTGAGGATATGTTTGTTGATTTTAGAGAGTGAGGAAGAGGGGAGAGAGAGAGGGTGGGAAAGAGAGAGGAAGGAGAGAGAGAGAGAGAGAGAGAGAGAGAGAGAGAGAGAGAGAGAGAGAGAGAGATGGAGGTGTGAGAGAGTAACATTAATCAGTTGCCTCCTACATGCTCATACAGGGGATAGGACTTGCAGCGTTGGTATGTGCCCTGACTGGTAATTGAATTCACAACTTTCTAGTGTAAGGGATGACACTATTCAACTGAGCCACCTGGCCAGGTTCCACTGTTTCTACCTGATACTCTTTGATTGCCTCTTCATAGGAGATTAATTCTGTCACATAGTAATAAATGTCAAAATTATATTAAGTATTAATTACTAGAATATTATATTTATACTAGAGGCCCAGTGCATGAAATTCATCCTGCACCCTCTTCAATCTGGGACATCCCTGTCACAACCCAGGACTGCTGGCTTCCAACTGCTTGCCTGCCTGCCTTCCTGATTGCCCCTAACATTTTCTGCCTACTGGCCTGATCACCCCCAACCAATCCCCTGCCAGCCTGATTGTTGTCTAACTGCTCCCCTACCAGCCTATTTGCCCCTAACTGCCCTCCCCTAAAGTCATGGTTGCCTCCAACTTCCCGCCTCTGCCAGCTTGATTGCCCACAATTGCCCTTCCTTGGAGACCTGGTCCCTCCCAACTTTCATTCCCTGCTGGCCATCTTGTGGTGGCCAGCTTGTATCCACATGGGGCAGTCATCTTTGACCACATGGGGGCAGCCATCTTGTATGTTGAAGTGATAGGATTAGATAGATTAGAGGCCTGGTGCAAAGGTGGGGGCTGGCTGGTTTGCCCTGAAGGGTGTCCTGGATCAGGGTAGAGGTCTCCTTGGGGTGTGGGGTGGCCTGGGTGAAGCGCTTGTGGTGGTTTGCAGGCCAGCCATGTCCCTGGTGACCCAAGCAGAGGCCCTGGTATCTGGGATTTATTTATCTTCTATAATTGAAACTTTGTAGCCTTAAGTGCAGTCCAGGGCAGGTGAAAAGCTTGACTTTCTCCATTGCAGGGGAAACCCAAGCCTCCTACTCTCTCTGTGGCCACAGCCATATTGGTTGGGTTAATTTGCATACTTGCTCCTGATTGGCTGGTGGGTGTGGCTTGTGGGTGTAGCGGAGATACAGTTAATTTGCATATCACTCTTTTACTAGGTAGGACTAGAGGCTTGACATATGAAATTTATGCATGGTTAGGGTCCCTAGTTCTGGCCAGTGATCAGGGCCAGTTGGGGCCTTCTGGCTGCCAGCCAGAGCCTTCCTTTGTTCACCGCCACCCCTGATGGTCAGCACACATCATAGAGAGTGATCAAACTCCCAGACTCCTGGTCGAACTCCCGAGGGGACACTTTGTATATTAGCTTTTCATATATAGAGATAATATAGAGAATAGAGAAAGAATTCAGTGTTCCCTTCAGCATGAATGACTGACATTTCTTTTTCTCCTGTGCCATTAAAGAAACCTTTCTTTAAATCGCACAACTTGTTACTAAAAATGTCTGAATTTCCACATCTCTGTCATATTTGGGAAAACATTGATCAAGTTTCTTCCTTTCATAAAGGGACGGTAGGATTGCAGGTTATGTCCACACATCACTCGAGCACCTGCTGGGCTTTGAAAAGGGACAGAGCATGTGAGGCGCTTGAAGATGGAGCTTCCTGAGCTGTAATGTGGGGAATTTACTGCTGTGCTGAGGCTCCGCCTCTGTGTCCCTCAGAATGGGGCCAGATCTCCCTTCACACATCGCCTTCTGATGGGGCCTGTGTGCTGTATTGTCTCAGGTCCCTCAGACCCTGAAAAACCCACACATGTGCTTCTCATGCCCCACAAAGCTCTCAGAGCAAAGGGCTTGAATGCTCAAGTTTTTGCTGGGGTTCTTCCCCCAACTGGAGTTGAATCCAAATTTCTTTTTCTATTGCCATTACTTGAGTTGTCTGAAAAAATTTAAAGTTATCCAGACTGGTCAGTTGTTTCAGATCAAGGGTGGGTCTCTGTCAAGCTCTGACCCCAGTGGCCCCCTGGGTGACCACCCTCTCCACTTTCACACCATCTATAAGGGGGTTACTTTCAGATTCACATCTGGGCAGGCCTATCAACCTCTGTGGGCCTCAGAATATCCACAGGCAGGGTTAGGTGGGAGGGAGACAGGATGATTTATTAGCTACCACCTCACCCCCACGTCCTGTGGTGGCCAAGTTCCCCTTCCAGCCTGGCCGCAGTCTCTCCCCCAGCACTTCCTGTTGGGGTGTCCTTAGCTCCACCCCAGAGCTGGGCACTTTCCTCCCTGACACAGGGACCTGGACCTGCCTGGCCAGAGGCAGACATGGTGCCCCTGCTGCTGCTGCTGCTGCTGCTACCCCTGCTGTGGGGGGGTGAGTGGGCTCAGAAAGGGGGGCTGGGATGGTGGGGGAGGGGCGTGGGTTGCATCTGAGCCTCTGTATCCCCCTCCGCTAGGGTCCCTGCAGCAGCAGCCAGGCTATGAGCTCCGAGTGCAGGATTCGGTGACAGTGCAGGAGGGTCTGTGTGTCCACGTGCCCTGCTCCTTCTCCTTCCCGAGGAGTTCGTGGTCTTCCTCTGCCGAAGTCTTCACCTACTGGTACCGGGGAGGGGACACGACAAACCGTGATGCTCCTGTGGCCTCGACCAACCCAAATAAATCAGTGAAGCTGGGGACCAAAGGCCGCTTCCTCCTCGCAGACCCCACGACCAACAACTGTTCCCTTCAAATCAGAGACGCCAGGAGGAGTGACACAGGACGCTACGTCTTCCGAGTGGAGATAGGATATCCTGTATATAACCAAGAATATTACCAAAGATATAACCTTCCAGGATATACTTACCAAGATAAGAAGCTGGATTTGCAGGTGACAGGTAAGGCAGGGGCCCTGGAGAGGACCCAGGGACATGAGACCCCGTCTTAGAGCAGGAACAGGACACTGGACACTCCTGTCCAGGCCTCGGGCCCTGGGTGATGGAAAGAGACATGGGGCCTGGGGTGAGCTCTGGCCCAAGGTCGGGCCTCTCTCAGGATCCCACTCTGAGTTCCCACCCCTGGAGCCCAGGCACCTGCCTTTCTTCCTTGTAGCCCTGACAGAGAAACCCCACATCCGTATTCCGGAGCCTCTGGTGTCCGGCCGCCGCACTCAGTTCACCTGCAGCCTGCCAGGGGCCTGTGAAGGGAGACAATCTCTCACCTTCTCCTGGAAGGGAGCCGCTGTGGACTCAATGAAACCCTCGACCCTCCGATCCTCGGTGCTCGCCTTCACTCCAAGGCCTGGGGACCATGGCACCAACCTCACCTGTCAGGTCCAAGTCCAAGGATCTTCGGTGGCCACACAGACAACCATCTGGCTCAATGTCTCCTGTGAGCGATGGAGGGTGGCTGGGTCCATGGGAGCAGTGTGTGTGTGTGTGTGTGTGTGTGTGTGTGTGTGTGTGTGTGTGTAGGCTGAGGAAACCTGAGAACACTAACACATGGCTCTGCATGTAAATGGGGAGTGGGCCAGATGGGCCACTTCACCCCATTTCTGGTTCCCACTACCCTTCCTTGGGATTGGGGTGACTTCCATCTGAAGTGGGGCCCTGTCTTTCTCTCCCAGATGCTCCTAGGAACCTCGCCATAGGCGCCTCCTTCAGATACGACACAGGTAGGCAAGAACCCCTCCTCTCTGGGCTGGGACCTGCCCGGTGCCCTGGTGGGGCAGAGGGGGGAGCAGGAGTTTGAATGGGATCAGACATGGGAAGGGCATGGATGGAAGTCATCATCCCAGTCCCTCACCTCTGGTAAGTGCCTCACCTGTGTTCCACCTCTCTCTTTCTCTCTCTTTTTCTTCCTCTCCTTCTTTCTCTCCCTCAAAATCGTTCTGCTCAAAGCCTTTAAGAATTTGCAAAACACATCCCTTTCCATCCTGGAGGGAGAGGCCCTGAGGCTGCTCTGTATGGCAGACAGCAACCCCCCTGCCAATCTGAGCTGGTTCCAGGGATCCCCAGGCCTGAACTCCACCTCCATTTTCACCACTGCGATTCTGGAGCTGCCTCACGTGGGGCCTGCACAGGAAGGAGAGTTCACCTGCCAAGCCCAGCACCCGCTGGGCTCCCAAAACATCTCTCTCAACCTCTCCGTGGCCTGTGAGTGGGGAGACCCCAGAGGGCAGGGCAGCTGGGTTCCGGGGAGATGAAAGCCACCACTGACCCTTCTCCTCATTACCCACAGATCCCCCCCAGCTGCAGGGACCCTCCTGCGCCTGGGGGGACCAGGCTCTGCACTGTAGCTGCTCCTCCAAGGCCCAGCCGGCCCCCTCCATGCGCTGGAGGCTGGACAAGGGACTGCTGGAGGGGAACCATAGCAATGCCTCTCATGTGGTCACCTCCAGCTCAGTGGGGCCCTGGACCAACAGCTCCCTGAGCCTCCGTGTGGGCCTCAGTGAGGGACTCAGACTCAGCTGTGAGGCCTCGAACATGCACTGGGCCCGGAGCGCCTCTCTCTTGCTGCTGCCAGGTCAGGGGTCTTATTGGGGGCAGAATCTTTGGGTGAAAGGAGCGGGTCAAGTAGAACGTAGAGCTGGGGGAGAGGGGCTGTGGCTTGGGCAGGAGGGATTGCTAGGACAGGGCCCTCCATCTCTTGTCCCTCACCCTCCAAATATTTTTATTGATTTCAGAAAGGGAGAGGGAGAGAGAGATAGAAACATCCATGATGAGAGAGAATCATTGATCAGCTGCCTCCTGCAGCCCCCGTCCCCCACTGGGTATTGAGCCCACAACATGTGCTCTTGACCAGGGATCGAACTAGGATCTCCTGGTTCATAGGTTGACGCTCATCCACTGAGCTAAGCCAGGCTCTGGTTGAGCAGAACCTACAGCCGGTTCTTGGAGGAGGAGGGAAGAGGAGAGACCAAGTCCTGGGAGTGGGTGTCTCATGCCCCTCTCCTCTGCAGGGAAGGCGGTGTCCCAGGCAGGAGTGGTTCCTGCGGCTCTTGGAGGTGTTGGTGCCATGGCCCTGCTGTCCCTGTGCTTGTGTCTCGTCTTCTTTTGCATGTAAGCCTCTGTGGGGGGGATGTGCAGAGCTGAGTACATCCAGAGGGGACTTTTTTTGTGGGGGGAGAGTCCGAGGAGGTAACAGCTTTATTGAGGTAAAATTCCCATATATTTAAAGTGTACAATTCAATGGCTTTTTACTCAGTCACCCAGATGTGCACCCATCATCACAATCAATTTTAAACTGTTTCATTTGCTTTGGAAAAAAAAAAACAAAAACAAGCAAAAGAGCCCCACAGCCCCTAACTGTTAGTTTGTTCCCATCCTCTCTCTCCCAGCCCTAGGCAGCCACTAACCTGTTTCCTGTCCATTCTGGACATTTCATGTAAAAGGATTCATACAACACATGGTCCTTGGTGACTGACTTCCTTCAAATTATCACAATATTTCCTTTTATTATTGTAATAATTATTTTGTTTGTTAATCCCATTATTTTTCCATTGATTTTTAGAGCGAGTGGGAGGGAGGGAGGGAGAGAGGGAGAGACAGATACAGAGAGAGAGCAGGACACAGAGGGAAACATTGTGCCCTCTCTACAAGCCTCGACCAGAGATGGGGATTGAACCTGCAACATAGGTCCATGTCCTTGACCAAGAATTGAACCTGTGAACTTCAGTGTGCAGGCCGACACTCTAATCACTGAGCCACTGGCCATGGCGGTGACATTTTCAAGGTTCATGTGTCAGCTCTGTATTGCTTTTTATTTACAAACTAGAGGCCCAGTGCATGAAGATTCGTGCAAGAATGGGCCTTTCTTCCCTTGGCTGCCAGCACTGCCTTCACCTTGGCTGGGAGCTGGCTTTCTGCCTTTGCTCCAGCCCGGACCCACCTTTCTACCTTCCCAAGCTGCCCAGAGGCCCAGAATGGCTGGGGCAGTGTAGGAAGCAGGTGTCCCGTCTGTCCTGGCCACTCTGTGCCTGAGTATGTAAATTAACCTGCCATCTTTGTTGGGTTAATTTGCATAGTCACTCCTGATTGGCTGGTGGGTATTGCAAAGATATGATCAATTTGCATATTTCTCTTTTATTAGTATAGATAACATTCCATGGTATGGGTGGGGCACATTTTATCTGTCCATTCCTTCATTGATGGATATTTGGGTTGCTTGGACTTTTTGGTTACCATAAATTACACTGATGATGGCTTATGCACAAGTCTCTGCATGTGAGAGGGACCTTGGTGATGAACATTCAGTCTTGGCCAAGCGCCTGGATAATTCAGGAGGATGAGGTCCTCACCTGCCTGCAGGAGTGTTTCCGTGTCTGGCCTCAGGGTCTGGATGCCTCCATTGTCCAAACGGGAGTGGGGGCAGCTGCCCACATGTGCCTGAGCCATTCTAGCTGCTGACTTCTTCCCTTAGAGTGAAAGCCCGCAGAAGGCAAGCAGCCGGGAGACCAAAGGTGATGAATGATGAAGACCCTGTCATGGGCACAGTCACGTCAGTGAGTAATGGGGGTGTCTTCTCATGTCTTGTAGGGGGGGTTTGGACATGCCTATTCCAAGAGTCCACACTGAGCTCCTTTGTGGTCAGATGGAGAGGCAGCTGGGAGTTAACTTCCCCTTCATTTCCTGAAACCCATGATCAGCCTCCTGCCCCAGCCACACTGGCCACTGAGCCCACCTCACCTTTCTGATAGGCTCAGGCTGCCAGAACCATGTCCCCAAAACTATTACTTTCTACCCATTGTGGGCATGTTCCTTCACCTCTTCTCACCTCAGTTTCCCCATCTGTAAGTGGGGATAATGAGGGTCATTCATGCTGGGTTTCTGTGAGGATGAAACGTGACTAGCAGGCCTTCAGTATAATATTACACAATGTCAAATGCATGCGGGAATAGCTGAGTTCCTAAAACGTGTGTGTGGAATAAGAGGAAGAATGAACGCTGTCCCATCAGCCCAACTTCCCCTTGGGACCATGTCTGCCTTATCCCTCTCTAACTCCCTTCTCACCCCTTCACTCAGGGTTCCAAGGAAAAGCTAGGGCCAGGCAGGCCTCCAGACCAAGCGCCCCCTGCCAAGGATGCCCCTTCCTCCGGCGAGCAACAAGAGCTCTACTACGCCAACCTCAGCTTTTATGAGATGAAGACACGGGAGCCTCGGGACCCGGAGGCCACCAGTAGCCCTGAGTACTCAGAGATCAAGCGTGCGGGCAAATGAGGACTCGCTCAGAGCAGTTTAACTGACTTTTCAGGAGCAACCACGGAAAGCAGAAGAAAGCAGATACCATCTTTACGTGTCACTTTATAATTTATAGTCAGCAGAGAGCATTCAAAAATGAGGAAGTAATGCAGATGTTTTGGAACAAATAAATGGGAAAATTATTGCCTGTAGAATAAAA